TGCCTGGCGTGGCCAGGGTTGGCGTTGATCTGGAGCGCGCCGCGGCGCAGGCCGACTACGGCACCGTCAATTTGAACCCGAGAGACATCATCATCTGCTGCTCCGACGGCCTCGTTGATGACGTGCCTTGCGAGAGCTTCAAGGTCATGCTCACAGGCACCGATGACGATGTTCACGCCGCGGCCGACCAGATGGTCAAGTGCGCGCAGCTGCACGGCGCGCCCAAGCCCGACGACATCTCGATCGTGATCGGCGTCGTCGGGCGCGCGCGAGGCCTCGGACTTTCTCGACGAGCGCATTTGGACCACCACAGGCGCACAAGGGACCCACGAACTAGATTGAGCAACCGTTTTTTAATATAAAAAAGCATCCCGGCCGCCTTCCGTGTTTGCGTGGTCGCGAGACCTTGGGTTCCTTCGGCACAACCGCCATTGTTGCAACCGACGCGCGTACCTCGGCCGCCAGAGACCAATGTGAGAGCCGCGGGCTTCATAGAGCAGCCGTAGTTGATATAACAAAAAAAACATTCGTGCCCCCTTCCGTGTTTGCGCGGTCGCGAGACCTTGGGTTCCTTCGGCAAAACCGCCGCCGCTGCAACCGACGCGCGCGCCTCGGCCGCCAGAGACCAATATGAGAGCCACGGACTTCATTGAGCAGACGTACTTTTTATACTATATATATATAAAAATCATGTTCGCCTTCCGTGTTTGTGTGGTCGCGAAACCTTGGGTTCCTTCGGCGCAACCGCCATCGTTGCAACCGGCGCACGTGCCTCGGCCGCCAGAGTCCAATATGAGAGCCACGGGCTTCATAGAGCAGCCGAATGTATATATAATATATTATAATATATGAATATATATATATATATATATATATTTATATTTATATATATATGTATACATCGCGCGCGCCCGTGTTTGCGCGGTCGCGAGACCTAGGGTTTCCTTTGGCAAAACCGCCCATTGTTTTGCAACCCGCGCGCACCTCGGCCGCCAGGAGAACCAATCTGAGAGCCACGGATTCATAGAGCATCCGTAGTTGTATATATATATTAATATATATATATATATATATATATTATATATATTATATTATATATATATGTATATGTATATTATGTATATATATATATATATATATATATATATTCTCATACGCGCCTCTCCGAGGGAGTAGAGCTCAGAGGCGATTAGTGCGCACGCGTCCGCGATTTTTCTGGGCGCTTCGCTCGGGACATCCTCGAATTTCTGGAAACCGGTGGCACCCCTCACGCAGATCGTGACGTCAGGGTCCAAAAACACATTGGAATTTCGACATTTTAACATAAAATCTTCAAAAACACATGGCAATTTTAATAATTGTGACCACGATTCTCAGGGAATGGCGGTTTTGCTTGAAAAATCCTTCCAAAATCGAACCTCGCGGGGGCCCCCTGGAACCTCCTGGGGCCTCCTGGGGCGTTCTGAACCTTCTGGCGCCCCAGACCCCGCCTCGGAGCATCCTGGGGGTGTCCTGAAACCTCCTGGGGCCTCCTGGAGCCTCCTGCGGCCTCCTGGAGCCTCTTGGGGCCTCCTGAAGCCTCCTGGGGTCTCCCTGGGCCTCCTGAAGCCGCCTGGGGCCTCCTGGGGCTTCAGAACTACATGCGAACAGAGACACAAATCACGCCCAACACATCACACGCTAAACAAACATAACACACACACACACACACACACACACACACACACACACACACACACACGCACGCACGCACGCACGCACGCACGCACGCACGCACGCACGCACGCACACACACACACACACACACACGCACGCACACAACACCTACAACACACAAGAAGCACGCACAACACAAAGCACACACGCACAACACTCACAATCCTGGGGCCTCCTGGAGCCTCTTCTGGTATCCAAGTCGGGCCTCCTGAGGCTTCCTGGGGGGCCCTGGTAGACACATCGCAAGGTGTGGCAACCCCACTTGCGCTCGAGTGCGACTTCGATGTTGCATTTCACTCCTGCTTCAAGCGCCCCTTCAGTTCTTTATATATATATATATACATATATATATACAAAAAAAACCTGGCCGTCTTCCGTGTTTGCGTGGTCGCGAGACCTTGGGTGCCTTCGGCAAAACCGCCACTGTCGCAACCGACGCGCGTACCCTGGCCGCCAGAGACCAATATGAGACCACGGGCTTCATGGAGCAACCGTAGATGCTAAAAAAAACGCATCCTGGCCGCCTTCCGTGTTTGTGTGGTCGCGAGACCTTGGGTTCCTTCGGCAAAACCGCCATTGTTGCAACCGGCGCGCGTACCTCGGCCGCCAGAGACCCATATGAGAGCCACGGGTTTCATAGAGCATTTTTTTGGTTTTTTTTGCATCCTGGCCGCCTTCCGTGTTTGTGTGGTCGCGAGACCTTGGGTTCCTTCGGCAAAACCGCCATTGTTGCAACCGACGCGCGCACCTCGGCCGCCAGATACCAATATGAGAGCCACGGGCTTCATAGAGCAGACGTACATTTCATTTATGTATTTTCTAAAATAAAAAATCCTGGCCGCCTTCCGTGTCTGTGAAGTCGCGAACTACTACTGCCACTGCCACTACCACCACCACCACCACCACACAAACCACGACTACTACTACTACGACTACTACTACTACTACTACTACTACTACTACTACTACTACTGATACTACTGATACTACTGATACTACTGATACTACTGATACTACTACTACTACTACTACTACTACTACTACTACTACTACTACTACTACCACTTCCACTACCACTACCACTACCACCACCACCACTACTACTACTACTACTACTACTACTACTACTACTACTACTTCTACTACTTCGACTACTTCTACTACTACTACTACTACTACTACTACTACTACTACTACTACTACTTACTACTACTACTACTACTACTACTACTACTACCACTACTACTACTACTACTACGACTGCCACTACTACCACTACGAGCACCAAGCTTGCATTTACGATGGGCGGGGCGCGGGGGGACACTGCGCCCTTTTCGTCGTTTCGGAGAGCGACGTCTGCTCAGGAATTCAGTGTGCGCAGGACCTTTGTTACGAGAGCGAGACCCAGGGGCCCCTGCCACCTTTGCCACCCTTCGCGTCACCCTCCGTGTCTGTCTGGGCTCAAGCGCGCCAGCGTGCCAGGGGATACGGCGCGCCTGCCCGTTCTCTGCCAGGGTCGTCGGCCAGAGCCGCGCCGAGACCGCGCCATGGCGACTGGGCGCGTCTCCCCCGCGCCTAAGCGAGGCAAGGCGCGCGCTGCCCTGAAGACGGGGAAGTCCAAGCGGGAAGCCCCGAAGCACGCGGGAAAAACAATGGCCCAGAAGCGGGCGCCAAACCAGAGTACGAGGAAAGTGCCCCACGTGCGGCATGGCAAGAGAACTTACTTGCACGTCCAGGCCGGAGCGCAGTGGTTTCAAGAGGAGCACGTTCGATTTCATTCGCGCCAGTGACCGCGAGATCGTTGACATGTTGCTGGAGGGCCAGATTTTGGAGAACTTGGAAGGCCAGACGTGTTCCCTCTGTGCGAAAGGAACCCTCGGCCCCCTGAAGGACGTCCAGAACCGCGGCCCTCGGTGCCGCTGCAACCATTACGGTTGCCAAAAGTTCCCCCTGCCCCAGAGCGGGCACATGGTCTTCGCCAGCGGCTCTGGGGCTGCCGCTGTGCCCTTGCAGGAACAGGCCGCCGTGCTATTCGCCGTCGTGAACGGCGCCCCTCTTGCCAAGATCCATGCGCTCACGGGCAAGAACCACAAGGCGATCGAGAGCATGAGCAAGCACAACGACGCGCGCCGAAAGTTTGACGCGGCGCAGCAGGAGAAGCCGATCACGTTCGGAAGGCAGGGGCGGACTTGGAAAGATGCCGAAGCCGACGAGGTCGACCTCAGGGGGGGCCTACTTGCTGACCAAGCAGATCGAGCAGAGAACGAGCAGGACCAATGGGAGCAGCGGGGCGGCGTCATCGAACGAGGTAACCGCAAGACGCTGGTTCTGACGCGCCTCAAGCTATGCATCACAAAGCAGAGAGCGCCAGGCCCAGGTGCGATACGCTTGCCTGATTGGGCGCCGTTCGCTCACCAGAACTTGACCAGCAGGAACGTCGTGCTCCACACTGGCGGAGCAAGGACTAACACGCTCAAGGTCGAGGGGATGATCCACGACCACGTCGGGCACCAGAGGAAGCGGCTCATGAAGAACGGCAAGCCAGTGAAGAAGAACGGCCGCCAAGCGTGGGTGAAACCTACGTACGCCAAGACGTTTCAGCGCAAACTTCCTGTCGGACGGGCCCTCAAGTGCAAGGGCGGGGCCCAGATCATCGACAGATTCTGGCAGCACTTGTGCGGCTTCATCAAGACCAGGAAGTGCGCCGTGGGCTCGATGTCGCTGAACTGCAGAGTCCGATCTGCCCAGTGGGCGCACTGGCACGCCAACGAGGACCTGTGGCTGGAGACCGGCAATATGCTCGGCCGCTTGAGGGGGGCTGACACCGCGTGGCGGTGGTAGCTTGTAGACTGCAAGCATTGGGGCATCGGGGCGCGCGGCAGGGCGCCTGAGAGTAGGCGGGGCCGCGCGCGCAACCAGAAAGCAATTGCGCAGCGCAGAAACCTCGAGGCTCACGAAACATCGGCCATGCGCTTCCCGTGTCTCGGAACTCAGGAAACGTTGCCAGGTGAGTTGTTCGATTTTGCTGTTTCGAAGCACAGAAACCACGGGGCTCAGGAAACTTCGGCCAGGCGCCTCCATTGTCTCGGAGATCAGGACTCGTCGCCAGGCGAGCTGCTGGATGTTCTCTAGCCTGGGAAGCTCACAAAGCCTAGCTGTCTTTTGTATCGGGCTGAGTGAAATAGCTGTTGGATGCGATATCGATGTCCGTAGCCGTTCTTTTGGTTCACTGGGCGAACCGCCCCCGCCCCCCCCCCCCCCCGCGCCCGCCTTCCAGCGCGGCGATGGCCGAGGCGGTTGCCAAGGAGAGAGCATTGGATGCGACGGTCAACGTGGTAAGGGTCCAGCACAAGAAGGGCCATGCCATCCTCGACCACGGCGAGGAGTCGCCTGCTGGCATCAGGCCTGACCAGTTGCCCCTGTGCGATTTCACAGAAGGCGGCAGCGAAGTAAGGCACGCCGTGGACATCATCTCCGAGCACGTCGGCGAAGCCCCAAAAGACGACATTCGCGAGTGCCTGGGCAGACAGAACCCTGCCTACGGCGAGCTCCCGGAACCTTTCCGCTTGAAGGACACGGGTGGCGTCTCGTACCACATGTCTATATTCGCCATTCCCCTCGAGGGCGGCAAATTCGCGGCGGTCAAGGTGATCGAGATGGCGGAAAAGCAAGAGAAGGGCTTCTTGAAGGGCTTGTGCGTCGGAACGCCCCAAATGATCAGTTGGGGCGAGATTGGCGGGTCGAACGCCCATCACAACCTCAAGGCCTTCCAATGCATGATCGAGGGGCTGGGCGGCTTTCAAGCCCGCGCGCTCGGGTTGGCCCCCTCCTCAAAGGAGGGGGGCGAACTCGACGAAGACGCCATCGAAGCAGGCTTCGATTACATTTACGACGAGGGCCCGCGGCACACGGAGAAGCTTACCCAGCTGAAGTGGATCGCCAAGAGGACCCGCAAGCAGGCGAACTGCCCGATCGCTGGGTGGCGCGACGGGCTGGCGAAGGAGGCGTTACGCCAGCTCGCGCAGGCCGACGCCTTTGCGGCCGCGCAGACTTTCTTCGGCATGACAATGGCGGACTACGAGATGTACATGGTAGACTTGGGGGCGCGCCTGGTGGCGTCGAGGAAGCTCAAGGGCAATTTGTGCCTGGGCAAAGCTGGGATCGGAAAGTCCCCATACATCAAGTCTCTCACGATGCGCCTCAGCCACCAGGCGCGCATCGACGCGACGGGGCGCACCGAGGAAGCACTCAACGGATCGTACCGCGTGTGCTCTGAGATGGATCTCTTCAGGGGTCGCCCTGGGCTGGTTGACACGCCCGACATCTTCGACGACGGCGACTCTTCCACCCGGCGCCCCAGAGTTCTCAAGGCTTTCGGTGACATTGCGTCAGCGGAAGCGGGGGCCGTGGCGCGGTGGACTGGGCGTCGGCGGGCCAAGGGTCAGCCCAGAGCGTTGCTGGGCAACAAGTACGACCAGCGCGTAGAGCCTGGCCCGCAAGGGGCCCCCAGCTCCAAGAACGGCGCCGAGACCATCACGCATGAGCAGCTCATGTCTTTGATCCGCCCAGCCTGGCCAATCGACATGCTGTTTCCAGACCAGGTGGCCGTTCTCAAGCGCATCAACTTCGTCGTGCAGACTGACCTCTGGCTCTACATTCGGTTTGCGACAGAGGATGAGGTGCCTGCTCACAAGTTCCCAGTGCCCGAGAAGCGGACGTGGATCCGCAAGACCAGCGGACCCAAGTTCGGCGCCATCCTCGAGGGGGCGGCGGGCGTGCCCGACGGGCACAAGGCGGCATCGCTGGGCGGACCACGTGCTTCGGGGCGGCCCAGCGCCTGGCCCGCAGCCCATCGGCCCGACGTGGACTAGGAGCGACGCCCCGCTCGACGTCAGCCAAGCCGCAGAAGCGTTCAACGACAAGCAGCGCGTGACCGAGTTCCTCCGCGATGCGCCTGCGACCTCGATGCCAACCTCAGCCGCGCCAGGAGGCGGCGCGCGCGAGTCACATATGCCAGCCCCAGGCGCGCCAGAAGGGGAGCGCCCAGCCAAGCGGGCGAGGCCTGGCGCGCAGGAGCACCGCGAGGCGTCGCCCGACCCTTTCGCGGATGGCTTCAGGTGCGACCGCCGCGGGGCTGACAGCGACGACTGCGAGGGCGATGAGGATGATGATCCGCTGCGCGGGACCCTCTCGCAGGAGCTCGAGCGGCTGCGGGGTCTCCACTTGGCGGGCGCCATCGCGCTCGTGGAGTTCAACTCCTTGAAGAAGAGCGCGATCGGGGAGCTCGCGCCCGCCAAGAAGGAGAAGGGCAATGCCAAGCAGGAGCGGGCGCGCCGCACGCCGATCAAGAAGGTCCCCGCAGGCGCGACCATCAAGGGGGAGCCCGCGGGCGCGCCCGCGTCCGCGGGCGGCGTCACTGCTTCGCCCGTGGACAAGGAGACGATGAAGGCGATCTTCCCAGGCACGGGTTGCGGGGGGAAAGAAGTCTGGCGTCGTTCGCGGGGCGTCGAAGGATTCTTCCGTTTGTTAACCAGCGGTTTTTTGAATGACGGCCCGTAAAGTCGAGGGCATGTTTGTTGCTCTGCTCGCGGCTGTCGGGCGGTTCGTTTGCCCCCCCCATCCCCTCCCTCGTCGACAGCCGTACTTCTAAGCCCTCAACAGGCGTCGTGGCGATCGACTCGGATTCGGACTGAGGCGGCCGCCGCCGCCGCGGGCCAGGCGCTGCGCAGGAGTCTAACAGCTAGCAGCGGGTGCTAGGCGAATTTGCTCGGGGAGGCATGCAACCATTTGGGGTGCATCCAGATCGCTGCGGGGGTAGACAAAGGGCACGCGTCTGACTTCGCATGGCTGTTGCGCACGTTGCAATGATGAACATAGCATGCGCGGGGCACCCTTGCGTCCTTGCCTCTGCGGCTCGCCGTTAGCCAGCCATAACATCGGACGCCGCTAAGCGGGCGTCCATGGGAATTGCGTCATTGCCGCGCTGTTAACACCGCCAACATGCGGCTTGCTGTTGCGTGCGCTTGCACAGCAGCCACGCGCGCGCAGAAACCCTGGATGGTCGCCTAACGCTGTTATTTTCTAAGGTTCCTAAGGCAACCGAAGGAAGGTGGCCACCAACCACTGCTATGTTTTAAGATTTCTAAGATTCAAAGATTTCCGCAACCATCCCAAGGCCCTGCGGAGCAGCCGCGCACACACAGCAACCCAGAATGGTCGCCAAGCACTGCTATTTTCTAAGGTTCCTAAGGCAAACGAAGGAAGGTGGCCACCAAACACTGCTATTTTCTAAGATTTCTAAGATTTCTAAGATTTTCGCAACCTTTCAGGCCAGCCTGGGGATGGTTGCGGAAATCTTAGAAATCTTAGAAATCTTAGAAAATAGCAGTGTTTGGTGGCCACCTTCCTTCGGTCGCCTTAGGAATCTTAGAAAATAACAGCGTGTGGTGGCCATTCAGGGTTGCTGTGTGCGCGTGGCTGCTCTGCAAGGCCTTGGGATGGTTGCGGAAATCTTAGAAATCTTAGAAATCTTAGAAAATAGCAGTGTTTGGTGGCCACCTTCCTTCGGTTGCCTTAGGAATCTTAGAAAATAGCAGCGTTTGGTGGGCATTACTGGCCACCAACACAAACAACGCAAAGCTTCCTTAGAGGAACTTAGTCTTCAGACCCCATCAAAATATAGATCTGGGGGGGTGCGACCATATATATATATATATATATAGATATATATGTCAGAGTGAGGGGGCCGAACGGTCATTCACTGTCCCTGGGTGCGTGGCTGAAGTGGAATTCCGCGGTGCGGATTATCGTTATTGTTGTTGTTGTTTGTTGTTGTTGTTGTTGTTGTTGTTGGTTGTTGTTGTTGTTGTTGTTGATGTTTGTTGTTGTTTGTTGTCGTCGTCCTACCCGCAACCCGCCCCGCGACCAACCCCGCGACCCACCCCGCGACCCCCCCCCCGCGACCCACCCGCGACCCACCCGCGACCCACCCCGCGACCCACCCCGCGACCCACCCCGCGAACCCCCCCCACCCCGCGACCCACCCGACCCCCGCGCCACCCGCGACCCACCCCGCGACCCACCCGCAACCCACCCGCGACCCACCCGCGACCCACCCGCGACGCACCCCGCGACCCACCCGCGACACACCTTCGACCCAAACCGCGTTGAAGGTACAAACCACCATTTTCGGCGCCTGCGGCGGGCTGTTTTTGCATTCCTTCCAAGTGGAGAGCCCGCGACCCACCCCGTGACCAACTCGCGACCAACCCGCGACCCAAACCACTTTCAGGGTACAAACCACATTGTTCGGCGCCTGCGGCGGGCATCTTTTGCATTCGTTTCAGGTGGAGAGCCCGCGGCCCATCCGCGACCACGTTCAGGGCACAAGCTGCATTGTTCGGCGCCTGCGGCGGGCATCTTTTGCATTCGTTTCAGGTGGAGAGCCCGCGGCCCATCCGCGACCACGTTCAGGGTACAAGCTGCATTGTTCGGAGCCTGCGGCGGGCATCTTTTGCATTCGTTTCAGGTGGAGAGCCCGCGGCCCACCCGCGACCCAAACCACGTTCAGTGTACAAACCAATGTTTGTTGGCGCCTGCGGCGGGCTGCTTTTGCATTCCCTCCAGGTGGAGGTGGACAGCCCGCGACCCACCCGCGACTTAAACCACGCTCACTGAACAAACCAATGCCGCACAAGCGCGGCGGCGGATTGTCGCATGCCGTCTGAGCCCGCAAGGACCTCTTCAAGCCCCGCGCATCCACACCAGCCAGTCCAGCAACTTTGCCCTGGCGAGTTGCCTTGATCAGAGAAGGCGGGAAGCATAAAGTGGGAAAAAAGACTGCGTTGCAGCTATCTTGGAAAAGGAGGGGGAGACAGGAGGAGTAAACAGGGGACGAGGAGAACGCGGAAGAAGAGAGGATGTAAGGAGAATGTGGAAAGAGAAAAGGAGGAGGAGCAGGAGGACGAGGAGGGGGAGGAGGGGAAGGAGGAGGACGAGGAGGGGGAGGAGGGGGATGATGATGATGATGATGATGGGCGACAATGAGAAGACGATGATGGAGGCCGATGAGGGGGAGGACGACAATGGGAGGACGATGATGAAAGGACGAGGGGGGGAGAGGGAGGACGAGGAAGAAGAGGAGGAGGACGAGGAGGAGGAAGATGACGATGACGATGAGGTCGAGGACGAGGAAGAGGAGGAGGATATTGCCATCGACAAGGAAGGTGGGTGCCACGAGGTCCGCCGGCTCGACGACGCCCGCGTCGCCCGCGCCCGCCCCCTCACTCTTATGCGCAATTGCGGGGTGCTACGTATATATGTATCCCTTTCTCCCTGCCCCTGTCGCACGGAGAGGGGCGGGGCAGGATAGAAGAGGGAGGTCAAGGGAAACACATGTGAATGATCGCTCTCTCTCTCTCTCGGTCTCTCTCTCTCTCTATATATATATATCTTGTTTGTTTGTTTTTCTCTCTCTCTCTCTTTCTCTCTTTCTCTCTCTCTCTCCCTCTCTATCCCTATATATATATACATACTTATAACACTATACATATCTATGTATACATGCCACTCTCTCACAGTCTCTCTCTTCCTCTCGCTTTCCCTCTCTCTCTCTCGTTCTCTCTCCGCTTCTATCCCTCTATACGTACCTGAGCTTGATCTAGTATCCCGCTCTCTATTGCATGATTCACCTCTCTTTGCTTCTCTCTCTCTCTCTCTCTCTCCCTCTCAAACTCCAAATATAATCAACTCTTTGTCTCTGATACCTGCTTGGTTCTCTCTGTCTTTCTGTCTGTGTTTTTCCTTTTTTTGTTCTCTCTCTCTCTCTCTCGTTCTCCCTCTCTTTATGTCTCAGTCCCTTTCACGATCACGAGCACGGTCACTGCATCCGCCACCGAGCCGCAGATAATGCGTGAAGTGTCCTTAACCCTTGATTGTCCCACGTAACTTGCATGAATACGACCACCAATACCACCTTCGAAAGCACCAAGAACCCCACTCACAAGCATTGTCGGGCGTTCCCACGCTGTGGCTCATGACTGCTTCGAAATGCCGGAAGGGTGGAAGGGGGGGGGGAGACATCCGCCATGCGCCGAAATGGCAAACGGGCCCCCTCTTTAAGCTTTATGAAGGCCCCGTGGGCCGCAGTCGGGGCCATGAGAGTCGGCTCGACAGCCGACCGTCATCCCGTCACCGAAGGCTTCTGCTAGCATGTGTCAGTCCATGCCTCTACCTGAACACGTGAGCACGCCCAACAAAACATATACGCATACGTACATTACACATGCATAGATGGCATTCAGAACTACAATAAACAAACCGTTGAGTGAGATAGACTGTCTGATGATCTGAACTCTTATGTGCCCGAATTGATTGCTGCGTGCCCCAAGTCGGGTAACACACGTAGCGTGTAATTGTGGCCTGGTCAGAACAGGTGCAATCGAAAGTTAGCTGCAAGCGCCTGGGAAGAGAAAGTGACTGAGAAAAATTGCACAAAAGGGCACAGCAAGATGTGGAAACTTACTCAAGTGGTAGGGCGTGGGGGCCCACCCGACAAAAAGGTCAGTGGAACCCCGCGGCCGGGAGACACTCGGCAGCTCAAGGGTCCAGAGGTCAGTGGAACCCCGCGGCCGGGAGACACTCGGCAGCTCAAGGGTCCAGCTGCGTGAGGAAGCGAGTGAGAGGCCACAAGGGTAGTGGGCGCGTTTGAAAAGAAGGGGGTGAAAACGGGCATCCCAATTGACCAACTCAAAAGGGGCCTGCGAACATGCGGTAGCGATGCACGTCCAGGAGCGTTTAGGGGACGTGACGCGGACGTTAAACGGCCCAGCTCACCGAAGCATGTTTCAAACTTCGAGCGGGAAGCTCGCCGCGAGTGGCCCGACCTGGCCCACGGAGCCCAACCAGCAACATTGACCATCATGCCCAGGCCCAGTGCCAGCAATCATGCCCACGCCTTCCGACGAAGGCCAGCAATCATGCCCAGACACACAGACCAGCAATCAGGTGTGATGCCATAAAGGTGGTCCTAGGGTCCAGCGACCACCGCAATTGGCACGGCCCGGACTCGGTACGGTGCGTCGCCTGACCACGGTGACTGAATTGCCTTGTGGAGCACTTTGGCCCCTACTCCGGATGCCACTCCCCGCAGAGCAGCTCTGTAGACGCTGCGGTCGGGCAAGGACCCGAAGCCACGGCCGTCCGGAGCGGCGTTAGTGGGTGAGCACTGGCGCGCCGCCCGCGGCCCCCAGCCTGCGCCAGGAGCCGCTCACTCCGTTGCCAGGAGTGGCTTGGTAGTAAGAACTTCCGAGACATCCCAATGTGCACCCAATATCGCCCCGAGCACCCCTCGAGCACCTACAAAGGGCCCAAGAGGCGCACAAAAAGGGCCCCAATAGGAGCTCAAAACGCGAAACTCGAAGGTCAACGACGATCATTCTCCAAGAGGTCCCGTCCTGGATGTCACTGGGCGTCATGGCTGCATGTGCGTCACCTCGTCAAATTGGCTCGGCATTACCGCTCGCATCGCTGCTTTGAATTTCAAGTTCGACGGAATCCCGCCCGCCTGCGACACCACCACCCATCGCCTCCTTAAATTGGACGGTGAGTGCGCGTGGTGTAGAAGGGGACCCGGTATATCCTCTCTTATCTCATCCTCCTTCAAAGCTTCCTCCACCGTCTCCTCTCCCTCCTG